AAACGTGCACATAGTGAACACACAACAAACGTGCACATAGTGAACACACAACAAACGTGCAAAAACATTTTTTCGGTCGCAACCTGGATTCGAACCCAGGACCTTTGAATGAGAGGTGAACACCTTAACCTCTAGGCCACGAGAGCCCCCTGTAGCGAAACAGGCATGTTGAGAAACATGGAAGTAACAAAACATGCACATAGCACATGACACACATAACGGAATACACACACAGCACATACACACATAACGGAATACACACACAGCACATGCACACATAACGGAATACACACACAGCACATACACACATAACGGAATACACACACATAACGGAATACACACATATAACAAATGGATTTTTACGTCCCAGATTTCTTCTTACACTTTGTACATGTATATTCTTTGTATTTAAAATGCAAACATTGCAAAATTGATACATTAGGCCTATGCGAAGATAAAGTCTCAACGATTTCCCTATGTGCGTGCTAGACTGTATATTTTATTATAATATGTACCTGTATATATGTAAAATGTTTTCCTTGGCCTCTGTTATTGCAGTTAGACATTTTGCCATCACGCACAGAAGATGGGAGTTGGATTCTCGGGTGGGGTGAAACATTATTTAGAGAGAGAGACGGACGGACAGAGAGAGAGAGAGAGAGGCAGATAGACAGAGACAGAGAGAGAGAGATGGATAGACAGAGAGAGAGAGAGAGAGAGAGATAGATAGACACAGACAGAGAGAGAGAGAGAGAGAGATAGATAGACAGAGAGAGACGGACAGAGAGACTGAGAGAGAGAGAGAGAGAGAGAGGGGCAGATAGACAGAGAGAGAGAGACAGACGGAGAGAGAGAGATGCAGACAGACAGAGAGAGAGAGGCAGACGGACAGAGAGAGAGAGAGAGAGACAAATAGACAGACAGCCTGGAAAGTGAGAGAGAAGAAGAAAGAGCCTTAAGGCCATGAAAAGAGTGAAGTGTGTATGTGTGTTTGGGGGGAGGGGGGTGATGTTGTTGTTTATTATTTGTAGACCTTGTCAAATACACATGTCGAAAAGATTGTCATTTCATTATACAAGTGCACTTGTCAGAAAGATTGTCATTTCATTAATACAAGTGCATTTTGTCAAAAAGATTGTCATTTAATTGTCGTCAGGTACTATTTTAAAAAAGTCCGTCGTACATGATGTAAATAAAAGCTGTCATATTTTGTTTGTCCGGTAAACTTGTAAATAACAAAGGTTGTCATTTCATCATCAGAAAAATATACATTTTAATAAAGATTGTCATTTCATCATCAGGAAAATATACATTTTAATAAAGATTGTCATTTCATCATCAGGAAAATATACATTTTAATAAAGATTGTCATTTCATCATCAGGAAAATATACATTTTAATAAAGATTGTCATTTCACTCTCTCTCTGTCATTGCCTTGTTCTTGTTGTCAGTACCAGAACTTGCACTCAGTGTAATCATAATGAAGTCCATGGTATGCATGACCTTTGAACTTGTGGTTGTTCCCAACGAGTGAGAGGAAAGTTATTGGACATTTTGCTGTGGTCTCCTCCTTCTACTTCTACAACTTTTGGTTGTTGTTGTTTTCCTTACATATTATGTGTGGGTGGTTGGCGGGTGCTCTGATGTGGTTTGCTTCTTCTTTCATATCAAACATCTATCGTCCTTATCTCCTCTTCTTCTTTTTAATGTTTGTTACTCTCTTGTAACACCTTTAATATTCTGGCACTCACATGACCTTATGCAGTTGCGAGCGCCGGAAAACCTCTACTAAAACTACAAAAACATATTATGTTCCCCAAAGCTTCTTTTTTTTTTTTTACTTTTCTGTGCCCAATTGTGTCAAAATGACGCCATCTGACAAGTGCAACGGTGTGCACATGATGTGTTGACTGTTCCCCAAAGCTGTTTTCTACTCACAATTTATTTATTGGCCTGGGGAAGACGGAACGTTGGTGCCTCCTCCGATTCAACCCCCCCCCCCGAATAACCGTGAGGGGATCTAATAAAAAAAAGACAAGACTAGCAACGATCAGGCGAATTTGAAATTGGGTATGTCAAATGTAAAAAACATACCGCTACACTAATTAGATCTAAGCATTCTAAGACCACTGACCATCGACACGCTCAGCCTATTTTTCGGACACGCAGCGGAACTGGCAGG